AATAATATCATTCTTCTTCTGTCGTGTAGGTTGTAGAAACTAGCTCGAGAAGCAGGCGTCTGAAATAGGCAATCTAGAATACCTACCTACTTTAAAACTGTTAATCTTTATACCTAATATGTTATTTATTTACTTAAATATTTATTTAGGATTAATATACAGAACAATATCATCTGAGGTTACAATATTGTTTTTGTAAAATTTTGTAGGTCAATTGTGACCATCCAACATAAATAAAAATACTATTTAAACTCATTTCACTTTAAATAAGTGAAATTTGGGAATATGAGACGCTTATAGGGTAAGCTAGAAAATGGTGTATTTTTAAACACATTTTAAAGCAAACAAAAAATCTTTGCAACAAAAACACTGATTAAGAGATAGATTTTCATCTTTTGCAACAGCTCTCGTGGATTTCAATCAAAGTATAATAAAGACATCCCGACAATGACAAACGACTTCGCCTAAAGAAAACTATCTGTGTAGACACAGCCTATCATCAATCTGCACGAGTGAATGATTGCTGGTGTTGCATTTTATCTCTTATCTCTAGAGAATTTGAGTATGGTCTTCAAAGTTTTATGTGTTAAGTTCGTTCACCGTTGAGATGACCTTAGTGCTTAAATAAGAGAATCTTTTTAATTTGTGATGAATAGAGAAACATAAATTTCAAATTTTTAGAATGAGTCTAATTGACCTTTAAATTTAAACCGTTACTAAACGAAATTATGAAATTTTGCAGGAGAGCCAAAATAAGAAAAAAGTCAATGTTTTTTTTCAATGTTGAAACATTGTTAAACAAATAAAATAAATAAATAAAATAAATAAATACAGTCAAAGGAAATAGTATTTTAAGGCTTCTTAATGAGTTATATGATAGATATGTGCTAACGCTATGTTATGTGATTTACAAAAATAAAATATTTTATGTATAGTATTATTTATTTTGATTTATATAATTATAGTAACACTTTACCATTTACTATTTTTTCATTTTTAAATAAATTACTATTCAAATTGCAGTCCAAATAATGTTACTATATTGAAAACTATTTAAATTTCAATGATAATGGTGATATTATTATACATTTAAATTTTATATCATAGAGTAGTTATTTGTGATGATGTTACAATATTAAAAAATAACAAACATTCGAAATCAACAATATTTTATTACAAATTAAAGATATCCATACAAGCATTTAGCCTAGTTATTTATTAATCAGTCTTAAGACATTTTGTACCTTTAAATCATAGGAAGTATAACTGATAACGAATAAGAAAAAAACACACCTAGCAATTACCTACCAAAAATACATAAAAAATATATTAAACTCAAGTTACAATCTCAGCATTATTTCCCTACCCTCGAAAGGTTGTTCACATACCTACCTTAAATCACTTAATAATAAAAATAATGAACAATATTTTGTGGCCACTGCTCAGAATGGATGTAAGGTTGAGTCTCGTGATACTAAAGAGCTCCTCCTCATAGACATAACCATTAGCCAACAAGTTCGGCGAAGCAGGAAAGCTCTCTCTGCTGCCTGGATTGACTATAAGAAGGCCTATGATTCGGTGCCTCAATCATGGCGGGAGAGGATCTTAGAGTTGTATAAGGTAGATGCAATGAGATCCTTTTTACGCTCATGCTCATGCATGGGGCAGTGGACTACAGTCCTTCGGCAGCCAGGTGGTGGTGAGAGGTCTCCTGATCCATTGAACTTCATAAGGATTGAGCGAGGCATTTCCAGGGTGACAGTTTGAGTCCCTTGTGGTTCTGCCTAGCACTGAATCCTCTTCGCACTCTGTTAAAGGATTCAGGGCTTAGTTATCAGCTACGAAGAGGGGGTGAGGTCATCCGGAAATACGACATCACCTGGAGCAAATAAATGCTTTTAATCTATATTTTATTAAAGACTTAAAAAAATGTTTCACTATTGTAAATCATAAAATTTACTCATTGTTTATTGAAAAACTGTAATTAACGAAATAGGCACCCTGTGGTGATAAATATTATTAGACAAGTACCTAAAAAAATAAAGGCAAACTGTGACTATACCAATTGTTACCGTTTACCAAAGAAATTTTATAATGAATTGTGTATTTTTTTTAAACGAAAACTGTGTTTAAACATATAGTCACACTTTACTCATTAAAAAAACTAAACAACTTACCTCACCCTTTAGTGATAAATATTATTAGACAAGTACCTAAAAAAATAAAGGCAAACTGTGACTATACCAATTGTTACCGTTTACCAAAGAAATTTTATAATGAATTGTGTATTTTTTTTAAACGAAAACTGTGTTTAAACATATAGTCACACTTTACTCATTAAAAAAACTAAACAACTTACCTTTTTTTGTGACGAACGGCCGTTACTATCCAAATAATCACACTATGAATTTAAACTTTCGTCATCACTCCGCAACAAACACGTTCTTACTTGCATAGACCCGTTATTGTATTTAGCGAGCCGTTCAAAGTTTGGCTTAGTAACGTTATGCTTTAACGCTAGATGGCGTTAGAAGGCAATTTTGAAGAAGTGGTCTATTTTATCTTGTAGTTTACGTGTCCTTTAGTAAGATGGCGTTGATAACTCATTTTTGCGAAAAATTCGTTTAGTAACGGTTTAACTTTAAAGGTGCGAATGTTGTAGTTACTCTAAAAAGCGATTTCGGAATCAAAATCGTCGTGAATGTTACTTTGTCTAAGGTACTCTGCAGGTTTGCTTTCGTTGTATTTTACGTTAATAAATGCCTAAAATACCAATTAAAAGGCTTAACAAAAATTTACGAGTATTTTATAACTTGCAAAGAAGGTCTTACATTAATATTTAAAACATTCAAGAATCCTCACGAAATAAAACGAAAAAGAAAAGAATTTATCCAACGTATAGCCTGACCAGGAACATAAAAACCCTCGCCATGTTGCGGAAAACTAATGGTACTAATTTCTTTTAATGGCAACAGTAACTGAAAACTTCATTGACATGTCACCTTGCATGTCAGTCTATTGCTGTCAAAGTGTAAACAAACTTTATTTTAAATGTGCGCAATTGATTTTGTGAATTAAATTGCTAAAATCTTTTTATAGTCGTTAAAGAAAAGTGGTTCACAATGTGTTAAAGTATTTGTCGAAGAGAAATATTAAGGGTTCGGACAATATTTTCATTGAATAATGTTTCCGACAAAGGTTGTCAAATTGACTGACATGTTTATCGTATAGTACAGTCCACTATGAAAATTAGCTGTGGTTTGTTTCAAATACCTATTTTAAAGTTTTTGTCTCTTTCTAAGTGTTGAATTTTATGGAATTGGGAAATAAGTACCGAGTTTGAAGCGTTCATGAGCAGACATTGCAGTTGAATATTCAAGTTCTGAAACTGATTATTGATGAATAATAAAATAAATCCTACTAACTCGATTGATGGTTTCATTTAATTTATTTAAACCAGGTTACCCATAATAATATTTTTTCGTTAATTTATGAAAATATCAAATTAGCCCGTAATCCTGAATCCTGATACATAAAGTTAGCCTATTAATTTAACACAGGTATTAAATTGCTAAAATCTTTTTATAGTCGTTAAAGAAAAGTGGTTCACAATGTGTTAAAGTATTTGTCGAAGAGAAATATTAAGGGTTCGGACAATATTTTCATTGAATAATGTTTCCGACAAAGGTTGTCAAATTGACTGACATGTTTATCGTATAGTACAGTCCACTATGAAAATTAGCTGTGGTTTGTTTCAAATACCTATTTTAAAGTTTTTGTCTCTTTCTAAGTGTTGAATTTTATGGAATTGGGAAATAAGTACCGAGTTTGAAGCGTTCATGAGCAGACATTGCAGTTGAATATTCAAGTTCTGAAACTGATTATTGATGAATAATAAAATAAATCCTACTAACTCGATTGATGGTTTCATTTAATTTATTTAAACCAGGTTACCCATAATAATATTTTTTCGTTAATTTATGAAAATATCAAATTAGCCCGTAATCCTGAATCCTGATACATAAAGTTAGCCTATTAATTTAACACAGGTGCGACTGTACTCAGTGTTGCACTATCAAATGCTATTGACGCGCCTCTATGCCAGGGTTTTTATGTTCCTGGTCAGGCTATACTTGTTTATTTCACACGGTTAGAAAAATGTGTAATATAAGTTTCACATCTGTTAATTCCCTTTGAACTTAACAGAAACGTTATGGCGCTATCAACAGAAGACGCTGGGGAAAGTGTTTGAACTTGAGTTCAGACTTGAATAAATAAAGTGAGTCGATGTCAGTACCCTGTCTGGTACAGTGCACCTCAGAATATACGTTAGTCTTGCAAAATAACACTTATTACCAATACAATAGAAACACAGCGCTGAGTTTCGTTTGATGTCCCGTCGCGTCGTCTATACATCTGAGCTGCGATGAAAAGCTACAGAAACTTGTAATGTTAATTTTATTAATTCTAATTTTATCATTGATTAGCAAGCTGAAGTGGCAATGAGCAAGGTAAATAGTACGCAGAACTGACGGCCAGTGTACGAGAATGGTGCCTATAATAGAATGATCAGTGAATAACAACGTAGGAATAAGAACTTTTTATTGTATCGGAATCTTGAATTCATGCATCTTTTTTGAGCATTAACTTCATTTTCAATTTGTCGGTTTTTTTTCCTTTGCTGTTTTATCGTTTTCTTCGTACTTATCAGTCCCCTGGAAATAATTTTCCAAAAAGTAAATAATTCAAATCATCACATGCGGAGTTGCGGATGCTCACACATCCAGAGATTACATTTTGTTTAACATCTCAAATGTTGTTTAAAGTTATTTATGAAACTCTGGAAGCTTATGACGAGGGTCAGCGGAATACCGCGGGCAAATTATAAAGGCAACAGCTTACAACATAATTTTTGCGGTCACACGAAGGTAACTTATTTACGCTTACTTCGGTTCGTGTATCAACCCTAATTTCGAAGTCGAGTACATGTTTTAATAAACATGCAGACTGGTTCATTGACTTACATCAAGGTAGGGTAAGGTAGTGAAAATCTATTATATTATTTAATGCTGGTCACGTGGTAGACCAACGCCTACCAGATAGAAGGACAACCCATTCACGACCAATTAAGATTGACTTTGGATTCGGACTGCAATAGACCGTTCTTGATGGAAAACAATAATTTATGGGAAGCTTTGTTGATCATTGATTAACGTAACATCCAATACCTATTATTTCCGTGCATAAAACTGCACTATTTCCCATTTACAGACAACGCAAACACAAACTCGTAAATTGAAAAACCTTTAGCGCCTCCATTTGAAACACCCATATTTTTTCGTGAAATTTAGTCACGCCGGCCCTTTTTACGAGGCGGCACAACCCTTTGATCGTCCTGCGTACGTACAGCCAGTTGTTTTAAGCCTGCCCGGCGTGAAATCGGCGACAGTTCACTGGGCCAGGCACTCGGCCTAGAAAACCTAACCTAGATATATTTTAATCAATCGTAGGAAGGTTAAATGCCTGTGATAATAAAAGCTGGGCGTGTAAGATTAATCATACTTTGTAATTAATTGCTCGTTTATTAGAAAGGTTGGTAGAGCGATTTATGCAGTGTGAGTCACGTTAAAGTGTACATATGAAAATAGATGAAACTAGACCTATTTTTATCGACAAAAAAGAGGTCAAAAAATTTTTGAGATTTTTTTTTTAATTTTTTATTGAATTTTTTTTCTTCCAAGTACTTATTGTAAAGAAAACGTAATAACTTTTAAACTAAGCGGTATATCCTGATAAAATAAAAACAGTAATAATGCTAAATAACAGGCGATACTAAAAAAATACATAAAGTACACAAAAAATGCCAACAAATAATAAAAAATGATACTTTTTGAAAAAAATCTGCTTTTAAATTCATGTTTTTTTGGTAATTTGATAAATTTCTCCAAAAAATGCCCCTATAACAGGTGGTTTTTATTACTTTGTATTATTCTCTATCGTATTATCTTTGTAAAACCAAAAATCGCATGTCTCTATCCCTATCACAACATTTGCTATGATCGTTTGAACAAAGGCCTGCCACAACATTATTCTCCGCTACAGGTAGAGACAATTTTAATTTTAACTAAAATGCTTATTTTACTTCGAAATCTTTTGTTTTTATTTGAAATCTAACTTGTCTTTATCAAAATTACAAATCTAGAGCCATTTTCAGTTTCGTTGTTAACGAAGCGTTGAATGGCGCGCCCGGAGAGGCTTAGTTCAAACGATCATTGCAAACGTTGTGATAGGGATAGAGACATGCGATTTTTGGTTTTACGAAGGTAATACGATAGAGAATAATACAAAGTAATAAAAACCACCGGTTATAGAGGCATTTTTTGGAAAAAATTATCAAATAACCAAAAAAACACGAATTTAAAAGTAGATTTTTTTCAAAAAGTATCTTTTTTATTATTTGTTGGCCTTTTTTGTGTATTTTATGTATTTTTTTAGTATCGCCTGTTATTTAGCATTATTACTGTTTTTATTTTATCAGGATATACCGCTTAGTTTAAAAGTTATTACGTTTTCTTTACAATAAGTAATTGGAAGAAAAAAAATTCTATAAAAAATTAAAAAAAAATCTCAAAAATTTTTTGAGCTCTTTTTTGTCGATAAAAATAGGTCTAGATTCATCTATTTTCATATGTACACTTTAACGTGACTCACACTGTATTTTGGCTACGATTACATGTATAACATATCAGACTGTTGTGTTTTTGTTCATTATTTTGCGATATACCTATCTATGTTTTGATTTGACTCTAATATAAGCCCTTTGTTTGCTATGTAAAAGACATAACTTTTTAGCAAATTGATTTACTTCGTGACCACGAGCCGAAGCGTAAGCAAAACGTCAAGCCGTGAAACATAATATGTAATTATGTAAATAACTCATATAAAAATTGAAATTTGAAAGATAATAGGTAGGCACTGAAAATTGTAAGATTTGAACACCCACATATTGACCGAAAAAGTAAAACTACTTACCTACTATGCGAGTATATTAAAGTTTGTGACAATAAATAATGTACTACTGCTCTCGGAAACCAGTCACCCATTAATAATATACATAGATTCGCGCTTAGCTTGGAATACATAATCAACATTCTAATCTTGTGCTACGAAACGACACGAACAAGTTTAACAAGCAACACTTCGGCGAACTTCTTAACGCTACGACCGAAGTAAAGTTGGAAGCAATACATACATTATTACAATTCTGCAGATACAACATGTAACTTTGTTTCTTCTGAAGTTACCTACATGGAATAAATATGTAATAGAGTCGATACAGTATTCAATATGCAATGTGAGTATGGACAACTGTTGTACAGTCAACAACTAAACATTTATGTGTTACAGTCAACTCATAATCAGTCAAAACCCTTTTGACCGTAAAAATCAGCCAAAAGTGATGAACTGATGCAAAAGCATGTTTAATATCACTTTTGATCAATATCACTCAACAGGTAAATATCACTTTTGACTGAAAGTCAAAAGTTGTTTTCCACCGATTATGAGTTTTGACTGTAACATACACTCGACATCAAATAAATCGCACCTCCCGAGACAAGCACTTTCAAACGTGTGCATCCCCACTTCCCACCAATATTGGCACCATTTAAAAGCCTAGTTCTAAACTTCATTTCATTAAAGGAAAGATTTTTATCCCAAAAATGTGTCTTTAGAAGGATCCAGTGAATTCTTAAAAAAATAGGTAGTTACGCTTGAGCCAACTTTTATGACTTTAAAACTGTTAAGTTGGGATTAATCGCTATCCATCTGTTAAAGAGGACACGTGTGATCATTATTTGGTTTTATAACCATAAAATTTGGTCTAATTGATCCCAGAGATGAGCCCAAAGTGAGGTCTTTTTTCAAGTCACATTTAAGGTATATATTAATCATTTATTAAGAAATTAAATGTGTTTTTCTTTAAGGATATTTATTGGGCTTTCAAATAACACCAATATTGTTGGGGTACTATGATTGTGTCAGAAGAAAATCTTTAAAGTTCGCGTCGCGGAAGGTGCGGTTTATTTGATGTTGAGTGTATTAATGTACCTATATCAACTGCATAGATGCTTGTCAAACTTGATGCGATCTTCTGTGTACGTCTTGGTTCATGATAAACAGGAACTATATTGTTTATTACAAGATGATTGGTATATTGCCGCAATTTATTACTAGCAAAATCGAATGGTGAAAAAATGGAATAAGTATAAGATGATTTTAAGCCTTTCTAATTAAAGGCTCCTGTTGCGGAGAAAAANTGACTGGACTACTAACATTATTTTCACATTAAGGGCTGATTTTTCAATCGTCAGATATTTTTTAACTGAAGAATAACCTTGTCATTTTGACATATTTCCCGTACTAAAACTGTCAATGTGCCAAACTTATTCTTCAGTTAAAAGTTATCCGACGGTTGAAAAATCAGCCCTAAATGTCTGTATAAATTAAACCATACTTTTAAAAAGGAAAAATGTGAAAGTTATTATTATTCTGTGCAAACTAGTAACTTTTCAATTATATTCTGTAATTAGCCTAACATAAACGATACAGATCTTATAGCACACTGTCATTAGCCTAATTAATCAAATAAGAACTCTTGGCAACTACTAATTATCTTAATTAAAGAAGCACATAAAGTAAGTACTGAGAATTTTATACAACCGAAAAGGTATGATTTTTGCAGAAAATAAGAAATTCGTATTTATTTACGAAAGCACCTACTTACCTATATTTGGAATATCCAGGAAGCATCGCTTACCACGGTTCGAGCTCTAATCGTCTGGAAAATTGTACGATACTTGGAAATCGATTGCCTGACATTCCGCAACGAACCCGGAAAAATACCGAGCAAAAACTCCGGCTCTAATGTTTACATCCAATAAAAGTTTATCTGGCCAACCGTGTCCTGTAATCGAGCGAATGCTTGCTTCCGTTATGCCAACACATTATATCCATGAGACTTATTTTTTAAGAATCAAATCGTTCGCGAGCCCCCCGATTCAGTCTCACATAAAATTCTTCATTTCAGAATAAAGTGCTGCGAGGTATTCTTCGAGACGTTGAATTCCCCCGGATTATGCGTTCAATCGCAGAGCGTTCTATCTCTGTACGGGTCTGGTTTCACGACGGGCATATCGGTGGATCTGGGACATGACACCGCGGATATAGTCCCCGTATACGAGGGAGGGCTCATAAGCTACGCACACATGCAAACACACTATGCCAGCGTTGATATATCAAAGTTCATAAAGGACAGTTTCGACGAAAGGAATATCGGCCTTGACATTCACGCGGAAGAAGTTCTAGACGGTATCAAAAAGAACTTGTATCTTACACAGAACGTAGCGATGTCGAGGAAGAATTACCGTAGAACGTATGTTCTGCCAAGTGGGGAAGAAATTGATATAAGTCAGGAAGCTTTTATGGCAGCTGAGATGATGATACAACCTGTGCTGGTGAAAGGGTACGAGACTGAAGTGATGCCTTTGCAAGAAGCTGTGGTAACATGTGCGATGAAGTGCGACGCGGAGTTGAGGCCTGAACTGTATGACGCAGTGGTCCCTTGCGGCGGGGTGTCAATGATACCAGGCCTGAATGAAAGATTGGCTACAGAGATTGAGAACATCACTAACAAGCCGGTTACAGTATTGTCATCGCCGGAGGCTTATGCCGTCTCCTGGTTAGGAGGAGCGACATTTGCAGGAATGCCTGCTTCCAAGAAGATGTGGGTGTCGAAAAAGCAATATGAGGATTACGGGGAGAAGATTGTGAGAAACAAATTTATGTGATATTGGATAGAGGTAGGTGTTTATTAAATTAAATTATTTTTATACATGTCGTATATAAATAATTTACCTCGACATCTCTCTTTAATGATAAAGTCTAAGAGATTAATTAATTCGTTAGTTAATGTTTCCTTTGACTACAACGTTGATAATTAAGTTCCAGCTTCATCATATATTAACGTTACTAATCACTGCCGTCGCATAAATCTATCGTCTGTAATAATCCCTTTAAAGCAATCAATAATAATTAATAGTATGATGACTATTAACCAAATATGTGTTATTTGTAATATTAATTTCGTTTAAGCGTGTTTATATGCCGCTGAGTGCAAAGCATTTGCAAAGAAGATTGAGCTACTTTTGTTGAAAAATCGTAACTATTATAACTACATAAGATGTCACAGTGTTTAGATCACATAATAATGCACTATGTTTTGCAGTCGTCCTTTCAGAAATCGTATTTCATGCTGACATGGCATGCAGTAACCCTTCTTGTATTACCTGCCTACTTAGATCCTTTACTAAAAAAACTTCTGACGGTGCGTAAATATTTTCGGGATATATTTCCATTCCATTGGGAATGTCTAGGGAACGTAATAGATTGTTGGGACTGTGCAAGGAGAAACATACCAACGTTTCTAATAATCATGCCTGGCGGGACCAGACGATGCTATCGCGAAGACCTTTACGCCTCGGGAGAGTTACTTAATTCTTAGGAGAGAAAGAGAAGCAAAATATGTGTAATCCCAACTAATATTATAAATGCGAAAGTAACTCTGTCTGTCTGTCTGTCTGTCTGTCTGTCTGTCTGTCTGTCTGTCTGTCTGTCTGTTACGCTTTCCCGCTTAAACCTCGCAACCGATTTTGATGAAATTTGGCATAGAGATAGTTTGAGTCCCGGGAAAGAACATAGGATAGTTTTTATCCCGGTTTTTGAAACAGGGACGCGCGCGATAAAGTTTTTCTGTGACAGACAAAATTCCACGCGGGCGAAGCCGCGGGCGGAAAGCTAGTATTTTATATTATGTTAAGGTCATCTTTAGCGTGTCTTTAGTTTACAATCACAAGCAAAACTTCGAATTAACCGCCTAAAAACAAACGTCAAAAATCTGTCAAACACCATACAAAAACACCGGCTATCGTTATAGTTACGGTTAAAATTAGGTGGTGCAACGCAACGACGAAATTAATAATTATGAATCTAATTCTATAAAGAAACCATATTTGAAGGCGATCAACATGCTTTATTGAATATCTGAGTAGACCCTTGATTGATGCAGCTAGCTATTAACAACGTACAGCCGACAGCACACCGGGCTATACAGGGTGGAATTTTTTTAATGCCACCTGGAGGGAAAGTACTCTTAATACTGTAGGTAGATAGAGAATTTCATTCAAAACATTCCTTTATTTTTGAAAATAAATAGAACTGCATTCAAATACATATTTTCAAAAATTTGGTTGCCATATCCAGGAATCGAACCAACTAAGATTTGTTAAAAATTACGTTAGGCGATTATCACACTGCACCGCGCTCTGCCGTGGTCCGCGTGGCGACATATTCCTAACGAATCCCGCGCGCAAACGCGTTGTCAGTGTGTTGTGCCGCGCGTATTTTCTATACAAACTGAGGTACTTGCATATTATTATAATGATTAAATCTGTCGTCCCGCGTACCGCCGGCGGAGCGCGGTGCAGTGTGATAATCGCCTTAGGGTTAAGTATAAGCAGGCCTGGCTCACTCCGCGCNCAGCACGGACGGACGCGCGTAGCGCCATCTATGATTCTTTGTTTAAATCATTTTGTAAACTGTTAATTGTATTGTTAGTTCTTATAAAGCAAGATGAATTATAGATGGCGCTTTACAAACATTTGATTTATACTAATATAGGTAGATGGCGCTAAAATGGGTTCGGAACAGCTCCATGAAAGAATGTATGGGTGGGATCTATCTATGAGTGATTATTAAAAAAATATCGAAATAGTTTCAAGAACTGTTCCATTTACTTGTACTAAGTATGTAACACTACTCTATTCACTGCTAAACATTGTTTAGTTAGAATTCAATAGCGTATTGTTACTGTTATCGAAATACCATCGCTCCAACACTGATGTTTGATGAATCGATGAAATTTTCAACGTAACTTTGGTTTCCATAAACAATAGAGTTTATTGGATAAACACGCATAAAGATGTTCTCCTGCACACAAAACAAATCTACGGATAGCTCGCAAAACCGGGCTTTGCGTATGTTTATATCGGAAGCCAATTTCCTCTTCGCAAACAGAGATTTTCGTTTTCCCCCAATGTAAACTTGCTGTATATACTTTTCTAGACCTGCAAAGTATCTTTCCCTGTCCCTAACCACTCTATAAAAGATTTTAGGGACGTCACAACCCAAACCTGCGGCAAACTAGAATTCAATTTGGTAGGATAGCACAAAGCGTTCGATTATGCGCGTGTATTTGTATCCCAACCCTTCCCAAACCGTTTTTTATTATGCAAATTCATCTCCGGGGATTGCTTGTATTCTTTCGTATAAGTTTTTTATTGTTTGTCATTTTTATAGGCTTTACATAAACTTAGGATCTGGGCTTCTGCGCTCGTGTTGAAACGAGATATCTCAGGCAGTATTTTGTTCCTTATTCTAGAAAATTCGGTGTGTTTTATGATGAATGGGCTTTCGATTACAATCTCATCCGAAAGATGCTGAAGATGTTCTGCGGTAGAGTGAGTTTACCCAGATGCCTATTTACTTGTAGCTTTAAGGCCTTTTGATAAATAAGAAAACCCTGTAGAAAAAATGTAGGTACTGAGACGTGTTCAGACTAACACATCTTGTAATCTCATCGGTCTACTCACGTGATGAGACGGTTTGATTGATGTTCTAGATAAGGTAGTGCAGAATAATGAAAACCAGCAAAAAAACATAAAGCTCCATTGCTTTTCTTTCATTTCGTGCAAATTCACACTTGATTATTTAATCACACTTTCCTGTGATAAGACCGTGGAAATACTTGATACGGTTAAAAAAACAATGGCTCGTCTGGCCATTAAATATGCCTACCTTCGGAGTGTGTGATTGTGCCTACGTTTTCGTTTTAGGTGAAACTGATTCCATCAATTTGTGATCCGCCCGCGGCAATATTGTAGATGAGAAAGCATTTTTCCTCTTCCATTTTTTGTTTGATTTTTTCAAAATAACATTTCTTTCGCTGGTACGCTCCAAATAGTACTCGTAAATTGAAATGTTTTCGTGTTACAGCATCTGCTACAATGTAAATATTAAACGGTCAGGTAAGCTTTACTCTCGTAAAATTAAATACCTACATAATATGAGCCTGATTATGAGCCTACAGTTAAAATAAATATCAATCTAAGACATTTTTCGATTTAGACAACGCCTACGTACCTATTCAGATACAGAACTATTATACATTCTAGTAACAAAACTGACTGCCAATGTAATTCTTTTCCAACAAAATTGCATATTATAACAGACAGAATATCAATTCATATGGAAACTTGTAGTAGATAGAAAGTAAAGAGCAAATATTTCATCGAGCTCGCGTTCATTACACGTCGAACCGTTCTATGTAATTTTCTAACAAGCCAAACTGGAATATGCAGTGTCATCCATCAAAAATTTCAGCACTGGAAATTAGCCAATACCTGTACCAAAGAACAAAGGGACTCTACACGTGAACAAAAAGCATATCACGCCATTCATTTTGGACTGCGAACTCAAAAGCGCAGCCCGATGGAGTATGAATAGAGTATCATATTTCAGTTTTGCGTTCGCTACTATTCAAATATCTCCTATAATGAACGTTGTTGCTATAATCCCGGATTGGGCGCAGCTCAAAGAGAAGCATCGGGGTATTACAAAGTACCAGGTAAATTAATATTCGTGTAGTCGCTGGCATAACAGACTAAACATTTACTATTAAAGATGTCTATTACATCTATTTTCGTTTTTCTTGATAATGTGACGTCGAGCCAATGGTAGTCGTAATGAAACACGCTGGAAAATGGCTACGATATATTTAGAGACTTACGTTTGCTACTAAATTTGTTGCTACGACTCGTAGTACATTGCTACGGAATTGCTACGATTCGTAGTCAGTGTCTGTGAAAGTCTAGAACTTTAATTAGTTTGAAAACATAAACATACATCTGACAAATTCTAGATTTAATATTGTTGTTCTAAACTCTAGTATTCTAAACTTTTGTTGTCAATTTACAACATACAGTTTTCTCACCATTATGATGAGAATGATTAAAAAAAGATGAGATGTAAAAAAGTAACACTTGGTTTTTATGAGTGCCCAGTAAAATTCTTGGTTAAATTTTTATCGTTGCTGTTCTCTGCATGTACTATCGGCAACAGTGTTAACTGCCCATTGCCGGTCATGTCGTCTCGTTCTAACGCAAAGAATCACCATTTGATGAGAGCGAGAGCAAAAACGGAAATATGAGTAAATACTGTGGCCGTGTGTACCTATACGCCAGCGCAGCCTGTTTCATTTGCTTGATACATCTTACATTTTAGCCTCCAACACTAACTAGCTTCAACCCTCTAGTTAGCAAACTGTATTCGCCGAGCTATTCGCTAGCTGGCATTCAGCGAACCAACTAATTAGTCGGAGTGAACACCACACAAGTGTCCGAAGCCACAACACAAAGCTTAATGGTCATCCGCTTGATACTGTTCGGGTATTGATCAGGAGTTTCGGTATTCGCGGTTGCGATATGCTCTAGTTCGAGGAACGTATGAATGACGTATTGTGCGATGTGAATATCTTCCATGACGTGCTTTTCAAACTTGCATGTATGTTTAGGTTTATTTGTTATAACTAAAGACTACATTTCAGTCTATTTCTGTAGCACAACACACAATTTTGATCCACAGTAAGTAGGATTTTTACCTTCAATTCCATCGAAAAGTCTGTTGTTGAGGATACAGGATTAAACTTGGATCCACCTACTTGATCATCACTTCG